CCGAACGTGTGGAGGCCTTCTTGTTTGAAAAATGTTCATGAAGGCATGTTGTGGCAGGCACGTCGGGGGACGTGCCTTGGGCTTTTCCGCGAGGCTATTCGCAGGGATACTGGTGGCCGTGCATTGCAGGCCGACGCCCCAAATATGTAACGCGCAAGTAGCAGAGATATGCCAAATCGCTCATCAGATCCACCAGCCTTGCCAGGAATTCTCCCTCACAGTCCTTGGCCTTTCGCATGGTGGGGCTAATATAGTGGACCGTTGCCACAGCAACCGGGCAACCGAAAATTCTTCATCGCGGCACAGATTACTCACAAGTTGGGTTTGAACGTCTTGAGCCCTTGGCCACCATCAAAGAAAAAGACGTGAAGCGATTGTCTGGCAGAACATTGTCACGCGGTTGGCGTCCCAAAATTTTGATCTCTGACAACGTACCCCGCAGTTTGTGCGTCCGTATTCAGGGATTCTGGTGAGACCTAAAGATAGAATTCTACAACTACCACCCGGCCTACCCGCAGTCCAATGGTCAGCCGAAGCAATCAACAAAGACTATTACTGGGGAAGGTGAAGAAACGGTTGGAAAAGGTTAGGGCAAGTGGGCTGAGAATTACGAGCGTCCTTGGCATAATCGAACAACCCCGCACGTTCGAACCGGGAAACTCCATTTGCTTGGCTTATGGCATGAGGCGTCATCACCCTTGGAAGTTGAAATGTCCCACCTCAGAACTGAGAGTTTGAGCCCGAGGGTAAATGCCGAGGTATTGCCTTAGGAGTTGACTTAGCGAATAGAAGGCGCCGGGAGAAAGCCCTCATCCATGTTGCCAGCTTACCAACAAGAGCTCTCCAGAAGTAATAACAAGACAGTGCACCCCAGACCGTTCAAAGTTGGGGATTGGGTTTTGAGGAAGATTATGGGCAACACCCTGGTGCCAGGAGAAGGCAAACTAGGGGCAAATTGGGAAGGACCCTACAAGATCACTGGTCTGGCTGGCAAGGGGGCTTACCACTTGGAGGATCTAGAGGGAAGAGCCATACCCCGGCCATGGAATGCGGCCAACTTGAAATTGTATTATTTTTAAGCTTTACTTTCCTCTTTTTGTAAAGCAATTTTTTGGCTTGCAAAGCAGAATGTAATTCTTTTTGTCAAATTATAGAAGTCATTTTGCATTAGCACTTGGATTATTGTTTTAAATGTTACGGACCGAGATGATATGCTCCGGTTGGAAGAGTTAGTGTTTTGTCCAACTTAGGATCCCCAACCGAGATGATATGCTCCGGTTGGAAGAGTTAGTGTTTTGTCCAACTTAGGATCCCCAACCGAGATGATATGCTCCGGTTGGAAGAGTTAGTGTTTTGTCCAACTTAGGATCCCCAACCGAGATGATTTGCTCCGGTTGGAAGAGTTGGTGTTTTGTCCAACTTAGGATTCCCAACCGAGATGATTTGCTCCGGTTGGAAGAGTTGGTGTTTTGTCCAACTTAGGATTCCCAACCGAGATGATTTGCTCCGGTTGGAAGAGTTGGTGTTTTGTCCAACTTAGGATTCCCAACCGAGATGATTTGCTCCGGTTGGAAGAGTTGGTGTTTTGTCCAACTTAGGATTCCCAACCGAGATGATTTGCTCCGGTTGGAAGAGTTGGTGTTTTGTCCAACTTAGGATTCCCAACCGAGATGATTTGCTCCGGTTGGAAGAGTTGGTGTTTTGTCCAACTTAGGATTCCCAACCGAGATGATTTGCTCCGGTTGGAAGAGTTGGTGTTTTGTCCAACTTAGGATTCCCAACCGAGATGATTTGCTCCGGTTGGAAGAGTTGGTGTTTTGTCCAACTTAGGATTCCCAACCGAGATGATTTGCTCCGGTTGGAAGAGTTGGTGTTTTGTCCAACTTAGGATTCCCAACCGAGATGATTTGCTCCGGTTGGAAGAGTTGGTGTTTTGTCCAACTTAGGATTCCCAACCGAGATGATTTGCTCCGGTTGGAAGAGTTGGTGTTTTGTCCAACTTAGGATTCCCAACCGAGATGATTTGCTCCGGTTGGAAGAGTTGGTGTTTTGTCCAACTTAGGATTCCCAACCGAGATGATTTGCTCCGGTTGGAAGAGTTGGTGTTTTGTCCAACTTAGGATTCCCAACCGAGATGATTTGCTCCGGTTGGAAGAGTTGGTGTTTTGTCCAACTTAGGATTCCCAACCGAGATGATTTGCTCCGGTTGGAAGAGTTGGTGTTTTGTCCAACTTAGGATTCCCAACCGAGATGATTTGCTCCGGTTGGAAGAGTTGGTGTTTTGTCCAACTTAGGATTCCCAACCGAGATGATTTGCTCCGGTTGGAAGAGTTGGTGTTTTGTCCAACTTAGGATTCCCAACCGAGATGATTTGCTCCGGTTGGAAGAGTTGGTGTTTTGTCCAACTTAGGATTCCCAACCGAGATGATTTGCTCCGGTTGGAAGAGTTGGTGTTTTGTCCAACTTAGGATTCCCAACCGAGATGATTTGTTCCGGTTGGAAGAGTTGGTGTTTTGTCCAACTTAGGATTCCCAACCGAGATGATTTGTTCCGGTTGGAAGAGTTGGTGTTCTGTCCAACTTGGGATTCCCAACCGTGATGAAGTACTCTGGTTGGAAGAGTTGGCGTCTTGTCCAACATGGTATCTTGTCCAAACTTAGCTACAACCGAGATGGGTATTTCGGTGCATGAATTTGTTTTGTTATGCTCAAATTGCTTCGACCGTGTTATGGACTCCGGTCGACAAAGTGTTCCAATGATAAGTTATACCGAGATAGTTTGCTGAAGATGGAATGGATTACTACCGGACAAACACTTGGCGAAAATTCAAAATTTTTCATTGATAAAGAAATTCATTACAAGAGGTGGGGACAGAGCCCGGTTACATCAAAAGTATTGAAAGCAAAAATACAAAGAAAAGAAAACTAAACCAAGGGGGATAGATTGGTGAATTCATCCTCGGCAGCCTCAAGGTTGACGGTTGGGCTCGCTTCTTGGGCACCGGGCTCAACTTGACCGGGCTGCACTTCCACTTCGGCGTCCTCAGCCTCCGAATCTGTCTCATCACTTCCTTCTTCAAGCCCCTCCTCGGCCTCCGCTTGAAGCGCACTGAATACATCATTTGCGTAAGGCACGAGGTAGACCGGTAGCTTGGCGGGAGGAGGATTAGTAAATACATCGGTGTCGGAGCCCTGGCCGAGGTGCTCGCAGGCGGACTTCCAGCCAGCCTTGAAAAAGATGTCTTGTGTTGCAAAGACTTGCTTCTTGTAGTTCTTCTCTGCTTCGTTAAACCCGGCATTGTTGGCAGCCCGGCAAGCTCTCCTCTTTGTCTTCTTAAAAGCGTCCACCTCAATCTGGAGCTCACTTTGTTTTTTCTCGGCCGCCTCCAGCTGACCGAGCAGTCTGTTGTTGTCAGCATTGGCTATCTGGAGGGAAGCCTTAGCCCGGCCCAGCTCGGCTTGAAGGCTCTCAACCTGGCTGGCTGTGTCGTTTGCCTTTTGCCTAAGCCGGTGGATGCGCTCCAAAACCAGATGCTGTTTTTGAATGGCCTGCAAAAAACAAAGTTGATGAGAAACGGAACCGGGCAAACACTTAGGAAAATTTTCAGAGCTGCATTGGCTTACCCTGGCCATGGACTTTACTGATGACTTGACTAACCGAGTGTCAGGGACGTGGTCGCTGCCAACCACGTCGCTCGGTAGTAGGAATGCTTTGGACAGATCAAAGGCGAGCAGATGCTCTTTGTCAGCCTTGATCGAAGCCGTTGCCGGGATGTCCTGACCCCGGTGCTTCAGATGTGGGCGCCAGGCTGGCACTGGGGCGGGGGCGTCCGTGGGGTGCTCGGTGGCGAGCTCGGTGACTAGCTCGGCGGACGGATCTGCCCGAGCTCTTTTCCCGGCCCGCCGCGCAGAAGGTTCTCGGCTGGATTGCCCGGCGGATTGAGTGGCCAGGGCGACCACGGCGCCACTGGATTGACCGGCGGTTGGCGACCGGGTTACCACGCTCGGCACCTCGGCAGATGTGGTGGTGAGCAGGTTCTTGATTCGACTTCTCTTGGCCATTTCTTGCTCGTCTGTTAACCGGATTAACGGGACGTCGGGAAGGGTTGGATCTGGCGGTGGCGAAGGAAGCAGAGTAGTAGTGGGCGGATGGCAACCAGTCTTGTATGGAAAGAGACGATATGATCAAAGGGAGGATTCTAGAAAAGGTAATCAAGGAGTTTTTACGGTGTTTGTTAACAGTCTTCCATGGTCTATGAAGCCGCGAGGTTTGTTCGCGCTATTCAAAAAATTCAGAATTGTGAAAGATGTTTTCATCCCAAACAAGCTTAGAAAGGCTAGCAAAACAATTCGTTAGATATGATTGCCCAGTGGCAGTTGAAGTTACAATTCAGAAAGCTAATGGCTTATGGTGTAATGATAAAGAATTACAAGTGAAGATAGCAGAGTTTGAGAAGATAAGAACAAATGAGAAGGAAGGTGGGCCCATTAAGAATGTGCATGATGGAAAGGGACAACCACAAGACTATTTGGGAAGAAATGATAAAAGAGCTTTTAAGGTAAAGATGGGACATCGTTTCTATGTAGAAGCTGTGTTACAAGGCAACAAAATTGAAAATGAAGGGCATGTCATTATGGGTGTTGAATCAGGTAATGGATGGTTGTATAAGAGTGTCATTGTCAAACTGGAAAGGTATTATGCCTTCTCAGATTTTTGTGAGGATATCTGGCAAAGAGGTTCTCTGGATATTGTTGTAAGAAAAGGGTGAGGTAGAATAGCTGTGGTGTCATTCAAGTCAGTGAAGGACAAGAAGTCACAGATGGTTCTATTGGATGATTGTCTAACAGAATGGTGTGAATTAGTAACAGAGCGGCAGAAGGGTATGCATTTAGAATAGGAGAGGGCAGTATGGTTAAGCTGCCATAGGGTACCTCTGAATCTCTAGAACATTGATACGTTTAATAAAATAGGTCGACTTAGGGAGGAAGTTATTCGAATGGATGAGGACACATCAAATCAGATATCCTTCAGCTGTGGGGGGTCAAGGTTGCAACAAGAACAATGTCCTTAATTGATACTGCAATACAGATTAGATGTGAAGGTATGTTATATCCAGTTAGAGTGTGCGAAGAACAAGTTATGGTTAATAAATTTATTGATAAATCATGTAAGTGTAAGTCAAGTCAAAAGAGAGATGATCTATGCAGTGCAAACGGAGGAAAGGAGCAGGAGACTGGAAAGATTGTAGAAGAGAACGAGGTCGAGGTGGAAAGCTCAATTGGAAATATGGTGGACTTGAGTGCTGAGATGGTACGATCACAGAGAGTTGATTTGGCACACACTGTATTAGTGGCTGAGGGGAAGACGTCCAACGGTGGCTTTACCTCGAGAGTGGAAGAGACAATGGAGGTGGGTTTGGGAAGCCAAAGGGTAATTAAAGCAGGCGTGGAGAGAAACAATTCAAAGAATTTGAATCCCATCCAACTATTTAATGAAGTGAGTGGGCTGGTGGAAGGTAAGGGTAATGGGTTCATGAGAAGCATTAGTGAGGATGTGCTTGATAACCTAGGGATAGCATTGGAAGTGGATTTGGTTAAAACCCAGTGCGATGGGCCAATATTTGGGCTCATGGTTAGCAATAGTAACTCAGACAATGAGGTGTCACAGGCCCAGGATGTTGGGTCATCATCACTTTATGTTGAGGCTACATTTGAGAGTGGTAACACAATTAGGAAAAAAAGAGAGTTAAAACAGAAGAAAAAGTTAGTAACGAGAAATGATAGTAGAATCTCGGTGGACAAGCATGGGAGAGCAAAGGGAGGGAGAAATGAAAGGAAAGGAGGTGCAGTGGGTATGGGAAGCTGGAGTAGAGGTGTTGTCCTAAGACTTAAATTTGAGTTAAAAGCAAGATCGGATGCACATGGGAAAGTCACAAGTAAAGAAAATTTCGGGGCAAGATCAAAATTGAAGTCTATTGGGAGAAATTTTCATAGGAATTTGACACCTCAGGAGGAGGCAGAAGAAAACAATATGTATAGGCAAAGCCTTAGGAAGGAAGAAGAGGTGAAGGAAAAATTAAAAGCTATGGAGACCAAGGATAAAGTTCATGCAGGTTCAAGGGCTGTAGATGCACAATTGGGAGCTGATGTGCAAAATTGATTGAATGTATCAGGTGGTTACAGGGGTTATATCATGTGTCTCTATGAAGCTCTTATCATGGAATGTAAGGGGTTTGGGTAAAACTGAAAAGAGAGGGAGGGTCAAATTACTGCTCAAAGATAGGAAAATTGGTTTTGTTTTTCTTCCAAGAGACAAAGAAAACTGAGGTTAACCAGATTTTGTAAAATCATTATGGCTTGTGGATGAAATGGAATTCATGGTAGTCGACTCTGAAGTTAGGGTAGGTGGGCTTTTGTGCATTTGGAAGCCAACTGTTGTCAAGTTATCCCAGTGTTGTAGCACAAGGCATTGCATTGTACTCTTAGGTACTCTTCCTCCATATTTTAACTGTGTCCTTATCAATGTTCATGCTCCGAATGAAGTTAATGAGAGAAGTAGATTCTAGAGTGTGCTGTATGGGTTGAGATCTAGCTTCTGTAATCCCTAGTGTCTAGCTGGAGACTTCAATGAGATACAGAATCTTGGAGAAAGAAGGGGGTGTTCTAGAAGAGAAAAATGGATGAAAGAGTTTTATTTATTTATAGAAAATATGGAGATTCTTGATTTACTCATGTTGGGAAGATAGTTCAAATGGTGCAATTCTAATGAAGGAGAAAAATGGAGTAGAATTGATAGAGTACTCATGTCAACGGAGTGGGTAGAAAGGTTGAAATTAAAGTTATAGGGTTTAGAGAGAAGTGTTTCAGATCATTGCCCCCTATTACTGGTTAAAGATGGCAGGGATTGAGGTCCTAGTCCATTTCACTTCATAAACGGTTGGACTCTACATCTGAAATTTGGAGAAGTTGTGAAGAAGTCCTGGGATGATTTTGCAATTATTGGCTGGGCAGGTTTTGTTATTATGAATAAGCTGAAGGTTCTACGTTCAATTTTGAAAAAAATGGAATATGGAGGTCTTTGGGAATGTTACTCATTCATTGAAAGCAACGGAGAAGGAGCTCCATGCCATTGATCTAGTGGCTGAATCTAGAAGTCTTATGGAGAATAAGGTTAAAAGAATGAGAGAAGTTCGAAAGGAAATATGGTCATTAAGTAGGAGAGAAGAATGGTTATGGAGGCAAAAGTCTAGAGTTAATTGGAGTTTAAAAGGAGACAATATTACATGATTCTTTCATGTCATAGCTACAAGCAGGCAAAATAGAAATCTACCGAATTCAATTGAAGTGGATGGGGAGATTCTTGAGGATCCATAAAAGGTCAAGCATGAGGTAGCTAAACACTTTAGATGCAGGTTCTCTGAAGAGTGGAAATTTCGACCTAAGCTCCAAGGTGTCTTCAATTCCATTGGTCAAGATAATGATTCTAATGGGCTGGTCGCTCATTTTTCAGAAGAGGAGATTTGGAGAGCTGTTAAAGAGAGTGATGGTAATAAGGCACCAGGACTTGATGGTTTCAACCTGTCTTGCTTTCAAAAGTGTTGGAAAGTGTTTAAAAAGGATATCTTGCAATTCTTCAAGGAATTCTATGATCATGGATGCTTAGCAAAATGTGTTAATAATTCTTTCATCACATTGATACCTAAGAATGAGAATCCAGGTGGTGTTTCAGATTACAGACCAATTAGCCTTGTTGGATATCTGTACAAAATTCTGTCTAAGGTTCTGGCATCTAGACTTAAGAAGGTATTGCCTAAAATAATTGGAAAATCTCAATCCCCTTTCATTAGTGGGAGGAACATTTTAGATGGGATTTTAGTCTCCAATGAAGTAGTGGATTGGTGGGAGAAGAAAAAGAAGAAGGGGGTAATTTTGAAATTGGATTTTGAAAAGCATATGATACCGTAAATTGGGAGTATCTCTTTGATATGATATCAAGCTTTGGCTTCCAGGATAAGTGGATTAGGTAGATGAAGGCGTGTATACAATCAACTAGAGTTTCAGTTCTTGTTAATGGTGTCCTGACTAATGAATTCTGCCCAGAAAAAGGACTCAAACAAGGGGACCGGCTATCTCCCTTTCTTTTTAATATAGTGGCTGAGGGTTTGAACATATTATTTCAAACAGCTAAAGCATTGGAGTTAATCAAAGGTGTTGTGATTGGCCTAAGGGAGGTCACCCATTTGCAATTTGCAGATGATACAATTGTGTTTTGTGAGGCGGAAGAGAATGACATTTTGAATGTTAAAAGAATCTTGAGGTCTTTTGAAGTGTTTCTAGATTGAAGATTAATTTTCATGAAAGTACAGTTTGTGGAGTAGGTGTGCAGGTGGCTGATGTAAATGTTTTCATAGGAAAATTGAATTATATGATTTAGAAGATACAATTCATGTATCGTGGTTTACCATTGGGTGCCAGCCCAAAGAGGAAAAGCACATGGTTGCCGGTAATCAATAAATTCAAGTTTAAGTTGGTGTCTTGGAAAAGGAAATTACTATCATTTGGAGATATGTTAACACTGATCAAAGCAATGTTGTCTTCTTTACTAGTGTACTACCTCTCTTTGTTTAAATTGCCTGCAAGTGTATCAAAGTTGTTAGACAAAATACAGGCCAGGTTTTTGTGGGGAGGTTCAGAACTCAAAAAGAAGCCCCATTTAGTAAAATAGGAGAAGGTTACCAAAACAAAGCACTTGGGAGGTTTGGGGATTAAGAAATTGAAGGAAGTCAATGATCGTTTACTAGCCAAATGGTGGCGGAGATATGGTGGTGAGGACTATGTGTTGTGGAAAGACATTTTGATTAGTAAATATGGCAGCTCTGGAGGAAGGTGGAGACCAATTTCTGGTAGCATTGCCTAGTGTTCAAGAGTATGGAGTGATATTCTCAGTTTGGAACACAACAATCCTAATCTATTTTGCTTCTTTATGGATAATTCTGTCATTCAAGTAGGGAATGGAATAAGAGTTAGATTTTGAAAAGATAGTTGGGCTACCAACAAATGTTTGAAGGAGGATTTTCCTAGATTATTTGAGTTATTAGTAGAAAAAAAAGGTCACTTTTAAGCAGATGATAGATAAAAGAAGTGGCTTAATTGAATGGAAGTTGAGTTTCAGAAGGAATCTGAGAGATTGGGAGGAGGATGAGATGGAAAGATTACAGTCCCTTTTGCTTTCACAAGACCCATCTTTATCAGAAAAAGCTAATTCATTGGCTTGGAAGGCATTATCTTCAAGTATATTCACAGTTATTTCAATTTATAATAGCAGTTGTGTAGGGCAGAGCTTGGGGACATCAAGGTTGCTTTGGAATAATATCTCTCCACCAAAGGTTCAGTTTTTTAGTTGGCTCGCTTGGAAGGGTAGAATCAAACCAAGAGCTTTCCTCCAAAGAGTGGGGTGTCTTAGTAATGAAGCTCGATTGAACTGTGTTTTTTGCAGCTGTGAGGTGGAATCATGGTGTCATGTTCTGGTGTAGTGCCCTTTTGTTTGGAGGATTTGGACAAATTTGTTGAATTGATGGGGTATGATTTGGGTGATACCTGAAAAGCTGAAAGAGATATTGGATTGGTGGAAAGGTTACAAATGGAGAAAGATTGAACAAAAAATTTATGAGGCAATTCTTTTGACATTCTTGTGGTCGGTGTGGAGGCTACGAAATGAGTGTATCTTTAATGAAAGAAAACCAATATTGGAGGAGGTTTGTGAGCTGATTAAAACTAGAGTTGCATTATGGATTGTAGCATCCTCTAGTGAGTTCCAATACTTAGTGCATGATGTGGTGGCTAATTTGGAACAGGTAACACATGCATTACATTGAGGCATATTGTTTTTTAGTGATGCATCCCCATCAGTTTAAGGGGTGGCTTACGGGATTACTGGTTATTGTAATGATTTGGATGCTGCTGTTATGGTTGTTGATGTAAAGGGATGTTCTTAGTGTGTTATTGCTGCTATGGTTGCTACTGGGGGTTTTGCTAGGTGGAGTTCATAGCTGAGTAGGGGGTTTATATTGTCTACATTGGAGAGAAAATTGGGGTAAAGACATATCAAAAAATTGAAAATGCTCCTACTGCTGGCCTGCTACTGATTTTATTTTAGAATGAGGATTGGTTTTATGAGCTGCTCCTGCTATTGGCCTGTTGTTGGTGTTATTTTTTGTTTGGTTACTACTGCTGATTTGGTGTATTTGTTACTGATGATCTGTTGCCTGTTCTATTGTTCTGTTCTCTTTTCTTCTTTGGTTGCTGATGTAAATGGATGCTCTTGGTGTGTTATTACTGCTATGGTTGCTGCTGGGGTGTTTTGCAGTGTGGAGTTCATAACTGAATGGGGGTTTATATTGTCTACATTGGAGAGAAAATTGGGGTAAAGACATATCAAGAAATTGAAGGTGCTCATTACTCTTATCTACTGTTTGTAAAGAATTCCAAACTGGTTTTCTGGGTTGCTCCTGTTGCTGTGTTCTGTTGGTGTAGAAGGATTGCTGATGGTGTTTTGTTTTAGGGTGAGGATTGGTTTTATGGGCTGCTCCTGTTGCTAGCCTGCTGTTGGTGTTATTTTTTTCTTTGGTTACTACTGCTGATTTGGTATAATTGTTTCTGTTGATCTGTTTTTTTTCTTTGGTTGCTTTGATTGGTCTCTCACCAATCTTGGGTCAAATGCTAGCAAATGATTGTGCTTCCTCTGTGGTGCCAACCTAGTTGGGATTGTGGAGGTTAGCTATGATGCTCTGTGCATTTTCCTACTTGTTGATGTAAAATTTATATGTATTGTGCTTTTTTCATCAATAAAGCTTTGTTTTGCTGATAAAAAAATGACATCAATGTAGGGTTCTACAGAAAGCTGGTAGATTTTAGATGCAACAACTGCTGGGTGAATTAGCGAAACATAAGTACATTGAGCGACATCGATGTGAGGAAGGCTCTATGACTGTCACGGACTTGTTTTGGACACATCTAGTGAGTTTGGATTTACATCGTACATTCTCTCGTTTGTTGATTATTGATTGCACATTTAAGACGAATAGTTATCGACTTCCTCTTATTGAAATTGTAGGAGTGACATAAACTCATATGACATTCTCTGTGGCTACCGCATACTTGCAAATTGAGCAGGATGATAATTATGCATGGGCGTTACAAACATTGCATGATCTTATGGACGACAATGATTTACCTGAAGTTATTGTCACAGACAGAGAGCTTGCTTTGATGAATGCCATTGAGAACACCTTTCCGAATGCTGGACATTTGTTATGTCGTTGGCATATTAATAAGAATGTATTAGCGAAATGCAAGAAAATGTTTGGGACAAAAAAAAAATGGGACAAGTTTAACACTGCATGGAACTATTTGGTATTGTCATCGATTGAAGAGAAATATAATGATCACCTTGCAATACTGCATGAGGATTTCAATAACTATTCGGAGGCAATCAAGTATGTTACTCTGAGTTGATTGAATCTGTATCAAGAAAAATTCATTGTGGTACATACAAACATGTGTATGTATTTTGGCAATGCTACAACCAATCGGTAATATTTGTTTTTTTTTAATTTCTTATAAATTATATTGTTATTTTTAATTATTGTGCTTGACTATTTTTGTTTACATCCATATGAACAGGGTTGAGAGTGCTCATGCTAGATTGAACAGTCAATTAGGTTCAAGTCAAACGACATTTGAGATTTCATTTCAAAAAATACATTGTCTACTTAAGTTGCAGCACATTCAAGTAAAAGCATCATTTGAGAAGAGTTTGACAACTGTGCAACATCAATTCAAACATTCTCAATTCAGAGAACTCTGGGGTAATGTGTTTATTTGTGCATTGGAGTACGTGTTGGCAGAGAGTAAAAGAGAAAATTCAGTTGGAATTGATGTTGCAGCATGTGGGTGTGTTCTTAGGTGCACGCATGATTTACCTTGTGCTCACGAGATTGCAAATTACATGAAACAAGGCCATCTTATTCCACTCAGTAGCATACATGTACATTGGACATGACTTACTATATGTGTGCATAATCCAAAGGTTGAGAAATTAGAATTGACTTGTATCCCAGAACTTGAGTTGATTTTGCAGAGGTTCAATGAGTCTGATATTGCCACGCAATTGGATATGTTAAAGAAGTTAAGGGAAATTGCAAATCCATCGAGCACTTTTCTTATTGAACCTAATGTGAAACCTAATCCACGTCGAGGACATAAAAAAATTGATATATCTTGTCATCGTGACCTGTGTGCATTTGAGTTGGTTGACGATGGCCATGATAGCCAGAGCACATTAGATTCCAGTCAATCAAAGAAAAAGAGAGCTTTGAAAGTGCATGAGAAGAAGTGGAATATAAAGACAAAGACATATCGTACAAAAACAAGTTTACCGAGTGCATATGTTGGTGACTTGCCGCCTATGTTAATGCCATTCATAAAGTTGATGAAGGATGTAGATGGTGATGAGAATTGTGGTTTTAGAGCTATTACGGATTTACTTGATCTTGGAGAGAATGACTGGGTGCAAGCTAAGCGTGATTTGCTACTTGAATTGAATAATCACGGAGATGAATACGTCATATTATACGAGTCACATGAGAGGGTTAAGGAGCTGACACACATCTTTTCATATTTTGAAGATAGCCCAAGCTTTTATCGTTGGATGACTATGCTTGACATGGGGCATCTTATTGCATCATTTTATAATGTAGTCTTATACCACTTGTCATTGCAGCAATGTCTCACTTTCTTACCTTTGAGATCACTGCCAGTAACCCTAGCTGATCGTCGCGAGACTGCCATTGAATTTGTCAATGGAAATCATTTTGTGCAGGTATAAGTTATGAAAATAATCGAACATTGTTGTTTAATATTTGTGTAATTGCAAATTTGATGGATTTGATAAAGATATGTAATTTTTTAGATGTACATGCAGATATTTTTGGAGGCCGGTCATCCAGTTTCTCCCATTGTTGTGATTCAGCGAGCTCACCATTATCCTTGTGCATATGTTAGCCGCATTCAAAAATTCAAAGACAACATAGGACCTAATATAGCTACTCGAGAGACATTTGATCACTACAACAAAACTAACTATTTACGGCATTATGTTTACGGCTTGCGTTAAATGCATGTCGTAGTTAATACATTCTATGATTTTTTTGTGTGCAAGCTGTTAATGTTTTGTCAATAACGGCATACATACCATGTAAGTCGTTAATTCATATATTTGTAGCATGCAAAAGTATGCTGTAAAAATGTATGTTTTTGCGACTAGCAAAAATATGTCGTAAAATATTTACACTTAAGACGACATACATTTCATGTTGTAAAATATTATAACTTTACACATGTTAATGAATGTCGTGAAAAATTCTACAAAAAAAAAAATAAAAAATAAAAAAATAAATAAAAAATTCAATCTGAGTTTTTTATGACATACAAAAGTATAAAATTGTATATTTTTACAGCATATAAAAATATGTTATAAAATATTTGCACTTAAAAAAACATACATTTCATGTCGTAAAATATTAAATTTTATATTTTTTTGAATTTAGTGATTTTTTTAGAAAATTAAAAAATATTTTCCTTCTAAGTATATGTAAATTATTTGAATTTAAAAAGTCAAAAAAAAAAATTTTATTTAAAAACTTACGCCACACTCCCTCTCATTCTAGATCCATACATGTTTTGGTCCTAAACCCTCTCATTCTCCAAAAAAATTATATTTTAATTATAAATAACAAAAAAAAATTCTAGATGTTCTTAAATAAATTTCTAGTAGATATGAGAAATTTTTAATTTTTTTTCCAATAAACTAGATATTCTATTTATAATTTAGATTTTTTTTAATACAAAAATAATTTATAAACTTGTACTCAAATCTTTTTGTCTAAAATTTTCTACTCCAATTTTTTTATTTTATTAATATTATTAAAATTATGCATTCTTTGCATCCCAAATTTTTTATTTATTAATATTGTCATCTGTTTGCATCCCCGCGGAACATAGGCCAATTCTCATTTGAGGTATAGGAAAAAAAAACGTTAATCTCCGTTTAATATTAAATAAAAAATAAAAAATACTTATTATATGATAAAAGGGTAAATTACATTTACCTCCCTTGAGGTTTCTGACAAATACAGGGACCTCCCCTGTGGTTTTAATAATTACAGAAACCTCCCCTACTTTATCTGACAATATCAAGATACCCCCATTTTTTGACTTCCGTTTACACAACTAATGGAAGCGGCTGATGTCATCAAAGATAAATGCCAAAATGTCCATAATGCCCTCAAATGCAACACTTAATCCAAATGAGTTTCACTCTCATATGACTATTTGGTATACTAATTAATACTTTATTTAGAGTTTTTGAAATTTTTTATATAAGTTATATATAATAAAATATTTTTATGTTATGTGATTAATGTATCATTTTTGTCTAACTTTAAATATAAATTAATTAAAAAAATAAATTACGAAAAAATTAAAATCCGATATATCCTTCCATGTTTTTACATATTGTTTCCTGATTTAATTTCAACTATACCCAAAAACACATATTAATTATTTATTATTAGGGTAAATTATTTGTAAATCCTATTTGAAAGACTTATACAAAATATGGTCCTATGAAAAAACTTATAACCCAATAGGTCTTGTGATTTTTTTATGGACACATCTACCCCTAATCTTAATTAATTAATAACTTGATTAATGATAATACCATATATAGAAAATTTAATGTTATCATATATTGTGATTATATCTACATAGTTAAAAATTTGAAATTCAAAACAATCTAATTAATGGCATATCCATATATGGGAAATCCAATATTATCATGGATTGTAATAATATCTATATGATTAGAAATTTGAAATTTAAAATAACCTAATTAATGACAATACTTTATATAGGAAATTCAATGTTACCATAAATTGCAATCAAACTTATATGGTTAGAAATTTAAAATTCAAAATAACCTAATTAATGGCAATACTATATATAGATTAATTAATGGCAATACTATATATAGAAAATCCAATGTTATCATAAATTGTGATTATATCTGTATAGTTGAAAATTTAAAATTTAAAACGTAAATGTAACATGGGATCTGTTTGGTAACCATTTTATTTTTAATTTTTCGCTTATATGTACAAAAAAATTTAAAAACTAGCTTAACTTGTTTAATAATTTTTTTTTTAGTTTATAAAGTAGTTCGTCTTAGTTTATAAATAAGGGTGAAAAACAAAAACAAGAAAAAGTTGTTTCTCGTTTTTTAAAAACAAAAAGCGCAAGCAAAAAACACAGCAAGAAAAAAAAAAAAAGTTTGACTGCGCTTGTGAGGTTTGAGACTAGCTCTCTTTCGCTTCTCTCTCCTCGTCAACGAACTCTCCATCATCGATCTGCTCTACATCATCAACGAACATCCAGCCTCCAGGTCTCTTTCTCCTCTCTATTGGTGCTTGATGGAGATCCTTGGATTCTGCATCGAAGAAGAAGAGAAGAAGAGAACCCGCTGTGGACGAAGCGTACTCGGTGCCAACGAAGACATTCTTGAAGAAACTTGAACAGATTTTTGGTGATTCTTTAAAATTTTTGGTGATTGTTGATGATTCTTGCATTGATTCATGGTGATTCTTTAAAAATTTTCTCAAATAATTCTTCCCTACTTGATTTAACGTAACAGTAAACCTTTGTCTTCTCTTCTTCCTCTTTGTCTCTCTCTCTCTCTCTTCATCTTCGTTCTTTTAAGAGTGGAGATTGAATGGGACCATGGTTTGTATTTGTGTATATTATTAGTAATAACATATTATGAAATTATAAATTTATGATTTTAACAGTGGACAGTAAATGGGACCTTAGTAATAACATATTATAATTTTATGATTTAAATGATTTTCATTGTTATAAACAATTAAAAAATAAAATAAACATTTTATGCATTAAAATTAACAAAAATGTTTTTGGATTTTTATTTTTGAAAATTTTCAAACAGTTTATTCAAACCAAATGTATTTGCAGTTTTTGATTTTCTAAAAATAAATAAAAACTAGTTTATAATTTTTTTTATAAACATAAACAAAAAACGTAAACGTTACCAAACGATACCGTAACATCTCAAACTTAATGTGACATTTCCAAATCCAATGTCACATTCCCATATGCTTCTGACATTCAAAATAAATTAATTAATAAAAATATCATATATGAAAAATTCTGAAATTCAAAATAAATTAATTAATGGAAATATCATATATGAAAAATTCAATGTTATAAAAAATTGTGACCATATTTATATGATTGAAAATTTAAAATTCAAAACATAAATATAACATATAACATCTCAAATTCAACGTGACATTAGAAACAAATTAAGAGTATAATAATACACCGATATCATTTATTTACAACTCATAAAACCTTATGAAATATATTTCTATTTAAATAAGATTTCAAACTCTAAAAAAGATTCATAAAACTTCACATTAAATAAATCTTCTAAATGCTACTTATAAATAATTTTTCCTTATTATTATCCTCATAGTCATCTCTATCTCTCTCCTAAATTCCTCCAAAATTTAGCGGAAACTCCAAAGCTTCTGCTTACTAAAACTAGACACTCATTTTCACAAACAAATTCGCAAATCATTTTCAGAGGGACAAAGCTCATCGACAATCGCCTTTTCATCTCAGACTCTCTCTGTCACTTCTATGTCAGTTCACTATTCGGTTATTTCACTATTGATTATGTGTTTTTTTTTTATTGTTTTGATTTCAATCTCTACTTATTTTCACAAGTATAGATTGATTAGGTCATATTTTTCAATATCAGCGTTGTCTTCAATTCTTGATTCCTTCAATTCTGTTTCCAATTTTTATTTCAATGTTCTTAATTCACTATCTCTGTCTCTCTAGAGGCGCACAGAAACACGCACTCTCTCTTGCTCTCTCTTAATCAATAATTGATTCTAAGCCACAATGATGTTAGTTACACGAGCACCAATCGATTGATTCTGAGCTTGGCGTTTTGATTCTAAGTTCGATTCTGATTCTGAGCCCCTTCCATGGATTTGATTTCTTTGTGAGTTTCTAACTTACTCAGTTTTCTCTCGTTCTAGAAGCATTCGTATTTGATGCAATTGGTGTGTTAGGTTAAATGATCGTGAAATGATTGTCAATGATGGATTGGAATTTATTGTGTGATTTTTTTGTGATGTTTCTCTGTGGTTTGACTGGATTAATTTTGAAAGCAAGTATCTTCATTCAATGTTTGTTAACCATTTCTGATCTGAGTTTTGTCTTCATTTGGGTTCTCTGGAGAAATTTAGAGAATGATTTGTGACTCATTGAGTTCCTCATGAAAATCAAACTTGCATTTATCTTTGTAATTTCATATGGTACTCTTTCCTTACCATTTGACAATCATTTGTTGAAACACTTAGGTTTATGCAAAATCTCAAACACATTGCAGGTTTATGCAAAATCTCAAACAAAAAATTGCATTCCCTAGGTAACTGTAGACGTAATTAGGGGATACCTACACAAGTCATTGTTTGCCACTGTGGAGTTCATAATTGAGAGTGAAAAAGGTATATGCATATTCTATTTCTTGATTTCTCCAGTACAAAATAATCAATGCACTTAATTAGCTTCCATTCTGCTGTGGTGTTTTCTTTTGCTAGTCTCCCTGATCAACCAGTTTCTCCTGAACTGGTCATATTTTACATTACTCAGGACACGCAAAGACATTCATTACTTCCTAAACTAAGATCAAGTTGTTTCTTGTTCTCTTTTCCCCTCTCTTTCTAGTTTTTATGAATTATAAGGGCCAAAGTAACATTTTTCCAGCTTCCATGTCCTTACAAACCTTGTAGTTATAGTTTTTTTAAATACTGATAAGCATGAAGGTTGATGAAAGTCAAAGGGTCTTGTAGACACCCCATTTTTGACCGCCCCTAAGACTTGGGCACTATTGATGGTTTGCTCGGTGTTGAGAGATGTGCAGGGCAAAGAGTCAGTTTCTTCAGCTAGAAGAGAGGCAAATCTTTCAAAACACTTTGTTTAGGGTTTTGGAGTTGAAGAAAAGAGGAAAGGAGAGGAGAAAACTAGTTT